GCCAGACTTGCTGTCCTTATGAGGTGTGTGTGTGTGTGTGTGTGTGTGTGTCTGTGTGTGTGTGTGTGCGCGCGCGCAGATGCCCATGGAGGACAGTCTTTCATCTCAAGAAAAATATGAACGGTGTAGGAATTTGAGACGAAATCATGCTATCACGTCACATTTGTGAACAGGGTTTTGCTTTTCACATTCCATTTTTAGTGACTCCCAAACACTGCTAACCTTCCAGGTTACACCACTTAATCCTCATAGGAAGTCTTTAGGGAGTTACGATAACCTGCACTTACCCTTTTGGGGTTCCTGAATCAGACACGAGATGTTAAGCAATTGCTCCTAAAGTCAGAGACAAAAGCAGGATCCAAGGGCAAGACTGTTGACCCCAAGGCTCAGAACCATCCTGTGCCCCGTCACTTTCTTCATATTGCCAGCATCTGCTCCCATCCCCGTACGCTATCTCCACCCTCACCCAGGCCAGCGCCTCAGAAATCTGGTGCATTTAAACATTTAAGTATCCAAGATGTCTGATCGCTAGTGTTCTGGCTGTTCATTTGGTTGGTTGGTCATTTTTTTTTTTTCAATTACACAACTTTTGTAAGCCCCAAGTCTAGGTAAGCCAGTGTCTCCTGATGTTGGCTGACTATGAGGTTGATATTGGGGCGTGTGTTCCTTCCAGATGTCCACTCACAGCTTCACACTGAAGCCCATCTACAGCCCTTCGCCATCAAATCAGTCTTCCTTCCACAGCAAAGGACACAAGACACTAGAAGACACCACATGGGGATTCAGAGCAAGCGTGGAAGAGACGGAGCCGAGAATCAGAAGGAACTCGTCATACAGATGGTCCCTCTAGAGCGTTTGAAGGCCCAGGAGGAAGTCTGCAGACCAAGAACACAAGTGTGTGGGTCTCTGGTTCTTCCTTGAATCTTTCCTGGCTGGAGGCTGGAGCCAGTTCAGAGAAACACCAGGGAGCTACGTGAACAGTGCCCTTGATGGAAGCCAAGTTTCGAGGAAAATCTACAGCAAACCCTCACTGTGGGTTTTCTGGAAGAAAGCTATTTTTAGAGAAACTGGCTCCGGCATGCGAGGAGACCAGCACACACTTCTCTGAAAAAAAAAAAAAATCTAAGAGAGTCTGCCAGGTTGCTTTGCATGAGATAGGAACTCCTTCCAAATGTCGGGAGTGTGGACCGTTTCCCAAGGTTAAGAAGATTTAAAAGAATCTGCAATAGCTATGGACTGAGAAAAGGAAGTGGGGAGTCTGGCACCATGCCAAGCATTCCTAAGTGGGGAGATATGAATCTGGATTATAGGTGGCCATGGGCAAGAGGTAGGATTCTTGACATTAAAGAGAAGGCCAAGTTCTGACGTAGTCTGGGCTGATAAATCAAACACACCTTTTCCGCTGAGGTGCATCCTGCCATTTCAACTCTGCTCCTCTCTCCTCCTCTCATCGCTCACCTCCTGGTGTCCTATCACCGCTACAAGGACATACCCTAGCTGCCTCAGAGACTCTGGGCTAACACACAGGTCCCCCAGCCCGGGGAACTGCTGGTGTTCTCTACCACACATTCTCTCTTACACATCACCATTTAAACCTACTCCCCTGAACCACAGGGACTTAATTCGTCTGCTTTAATCTCTCAGCTCCGTTTCATCACAGAGGAGAACGAGGTAAGCGCAGCGAGAGAAGTCCTGTGTGATCCATCTGGTAGACAGTGGGTGCCCAATAAGCAGGGGCAACCTTATTACCATGTCTGCATATATTTGCATGAAGATGAGCTACTCTCAAGTTCAAGTCACACCGTATGTGGCTAGGCTCTGTCTACAATCAATCCTCCTGCCCATAACTCTTAAAAGAAGCGACTGTCTTCATGGAGGCCCCTGTTCAGTAGGTGCCTCCTAGGATATGCTTTTGGATTCTTGTGGCCACTAAGAATGAAAGTGGTGGTAATACCGCAGTGGCTATGGTTGGGGAACAATGATTATCGTTAACAGTGTATCTGCTGTGCCGGACACAATGCCAAGCATCTTGCAGCACGTGCCATTTACGAAGCACAGGGGAAGCACCATCATCCTCCTCAGTTCCCAGATGAGAGAAGGAAGACTCAGCAAAGTTATTTGCCAGTGGCTATGAGGCAAGGCCAGAGGTAGCATGGGGGTCTGCTGGAGCACACCACCTTCACCTCCACATAGTTGTGGTGGTGTCTGCTGGAGCATACCACCTTCACCTCCACATAGTTGTGGTGTGGTCTGCTGAAGCACACCACCTTCACCTCCACGTAGTTGTGGTGGGGTCTGCTGGAGCATACTGTCATAACCACCATGTGGTTGCTGTTCATCTTTGGAAACACCCTACCTAGGCTGTCCATTCCTGGACTTTCTGATCTTATAAACTAGGTCATTACTTTTTTTTTTATAAATTATCCAGAAAAGGCAATCTATATGTATGCGTATTATATAATGCATACACATACTCTGTCTGCAGTGATAACAGTAAAAAGAAGGAAGTCTGGAAGTTTTAAGGATGTTGCTTTAAAATGACTTTTTTGCTCAATTAAAAAAAAAACTATCACATTGTTCTTTGCTTTATCCCTTTAACTCATAGTGGTTAAAATCTCAGGAATCATCTCATATTAACATCCTAGTTTGTCAACGTTGGTTTTGATAGTCAATGTCTGTTCGAGAGTCCAATCACCCGGGTGCGATCTGGCCAGTATAGCGTACACTTTTAATGTAGGCACCTGCAGTTTTGAACTTCTGGAAACCTGAGCTGACCTGTGAGGTCCACATTTGGGGACATATGGGAAGCTGGAAAGGAGGGGAGACAGATTGGGATGTGGCAGCATCCCTGGATACACCCTGATGGTTTAACTTGGCCCCTTCCTTCAGTCTGTGAGTTAGCGTCTTGGCCAAGAGGAAGGTCTCTGGGCACCAAAGAACAAGATATAAAACTTGGTAGTTAGAAGGGGGGAAGAACGGAAGAAGTCTTGGGGCGAGCCATGGGAATCTGCAAGGATGTGAGGGCTGGCTGGTGTTCTCACCAGGACACCCACCTTGAGAGGGCCAAAGTCCCACCTGACATGGACAGAGGCCTCTGAGAAAGAAAAGCACAGAGTTAATGAGGCAGAGGAAGACACGGCGGTGAGAGAGATGTGGGAAAGTCTTGGGGCTGGGGAGAAAAAGGAAAAGGAGCCAAGAAGGGAGCCAATGATGACGAGAAAAGCAGGAACGGATGGACAAGAGGGAGAAGCCAGAAGGGGGGAGGTGGGCCAGGGCTCTGCACACTCCAGGAGAGGGCGCTCTCCAGCTCTAAGGCACAGTGATGTGGACAGCTATGGTGGCGGGCCATGGCTGGAAGGCACTTGTATGATGGCCTCACAGGGCGTGGAGAGCAAAAAGCCTTCCCCACTCACCAGCTCCTGCCTATGGTAAGTGGTATAGGCAAACCTGTGCCCTCTGGGTCTGGGGCAGAGAATCGAGGAAGAGATGGTGAGGAAGATGAAAGAAGAGTAAACCAGGACTCCACACTGGGAGACACACGCCTCTTCCTATCTCAACCAGGGTGCAACCCAAGTCCATAACCTGCCCCATGGTCTGGTCCCTGTTTCCCCTCTGACCTTAGTTCCTGCTACCTCTGCCTTGTTTTCTCCACTTCAGTCACAATGGCCTCCTGGTGTGCCAGACACACTTGCACCCCAGGGCCTTTGCACACAACACTCCCCCTACCTCTGCCAATCTGACTCCAGAGGTCAATCTTGTTATGTCTTTCATTTGCGTCAGCTCCTTTCCTGGCTTCATTTTTTCTCTCCACATACCAGCCACTTTTGGACCTGACTTTATTACTTGATCTCTCTAGAACATACAGGCCACAGCAGCAGACATCGTGTCTACACTGTGTGTTGCTGCCGCACAGACACCCAGAAGGAGTGCTGAGTGGACGGAGTATTGGAATGAGTTGAGAACAGAAGTGTATGACCAGGGGAGGTGGAGGCAGAGACAGAGCAGGAGGGGGGTGGTTATGCAGCCGAGGGGCCAGGGAATTTATGACTTTCACTTTGAGGGATTTCATCCCTTGTTGTTTCAAAGCCTCCATCAAGTGCTAACAGAAAAGATAGGAAAAGGAACAACTGTGACCCTTTAAGAGCTGGCTTGAGGTCAGCGCTGACGGATACTCTACTCAGCCTAGAATGAGACAATGGCCATTTTCTAATTCATGAGGGAAGATGAACAAGGCTGAGCCATGAGGATGCATCCGACTCCAGAGTCTAACATTTGTACACATGCATAAACACACACGATCTTGTCTCTTTACCCAAAGAGCGAATCTAAAGGACAAAAGTCTCATAGGAATGATATAGAGCTATGGAACCAGGTCAGCGTTTTCCTTCCTCTGATACTGCCACCACTGTATAGTCCCTTGTCCCTGTACGGGGGGCCTTCACTAAGTGCTCACATACAGTATTTCATCTTGTTTTCACTAAGATCCACCAAAATTTAATACTACAATTATCAGGTTATCACTGGTGAGAAAACATGGAGAACTAGTTTACCAAATGCCAAACAGACAGACAGTATACAGGAGATCCGGGGTATAGAATCCATCTGACCCCAGGCAGGGATTGACAGCTTGCTGAGGAGAACCAGGCAGAATACATTTTAGGCTATGTGCACCTTGCAATCTTTGGTCATAACTATTTGTTACATACTGCCCCAAGGGACCAGCCAAAGACAGTATAAATAAACGGGGATGCATGTGTCCCAATAAAACTTTATTTGTAACATAGATGTTAGGTGTATCTCCTATAGGCTGTAGGTTGATGACAATATTCTTGACCACTGAATCATTACACTGATGAAAACCTAGAAGCCTAGAGAAGAGGTTCCTGAGAGTTTTTAATGGCCACAGTTAACAGCCCAACATTCTGGTAGTCTACTGAGAGACTGCCTGAGTCGGAGAGGTAAGCTAACTAGGGATAGAGGAATGGCAAATGGGCACTTACATTTCCACAATGCCCTCTGGCAGGTTGGCAGGGATCTCTGTCAGTCCCTTCCCCCGGCAGTCCACGATGTTATTACTGCATGTGCAAGCAGAAGGGCAGGACAGGGAGTTGGCATTGCAGGACGGAGCCTCGGAGTGGGGACCTGTGGAGCCAGAACATAACGGTCAACTCACGTCAGTGTTAGGAGCCTCCTGGCACTGAGCCTCCTGATCAGCTTCTCTGGGATGCAGCTTTTGTGATAAGCAATCTGGTGAATTCCCATCAGTGGACACAAGAGAGGTTCTGGCCTTGACCCCACTGTGTGTGGGTCATCTCACCTGCTTTATTATCCCATCATCCTGCTGCTTCTACAGAAAGAGGCATTCCGAGCATGCTCCACATATGGAGCGATGCCATCGGAATCTGAAGGGCACACACACAACGGCCACTTTCTCTCTGTGCCCAGCATCTGAACGATCCCTTGGAGTTTTTGTTTACATCTGGTGGCAGGATGCTGATGGCAGACACCACTTCCATTCTAGGGCTGAAAGTCACTGGTGTCACAACCAAGCAGGAGGCTAACATGTGGCAGAATTTCTCCCACTGCCGCATTGATCTTGTCAAAATATCAGTATACTGACCAGAAGTGACACCCAAGCCACATCCGAGTGGCTTTTGTGTCCAGGGGAGAGTCAAATGAAACTTACTAGATAAGAGGCGAGTAAGTCACTACATATTTTGGAATCAGCTTTTCACTCTGATTGAGGTGGGAATCAGTGTACACTTAAACGTGATTAAAAGCCCAAGCATAAGGTATCTCAGGAGTTTAGTTTGAAGACAAAACACAGATTTTTGCTACTAACTCAATTCAGGATTCAAAGACTCCTCAAGAACCCCATAACTTCCTTTGGTCATCAGGTCAAGCCCTAAATGCAAGACACACATTGAAATGTAAGGACACCGGCAAAATTCTCCTGCTTTGATTGCCACCTCCCAGTGAGGTAAGAATCTCAACTATGTGCTTTGTTTTTCACATGTGGACCCGGCTCAGTGGCATCCTCGGGTCCTTAGCCTGTGGTCTTTGGATGGAGCCAGCAACTGGCATCTCAATGTCTTTCCATATCTCCTGAGCGAAGCAAGCTCAGATGAACTCTGCGTCTTCACTCACTGCTCAAACATGGAAGCTCAGGCTTGGCACTTTTGGATACAGAGTAAACAAGAGATGGGGGGAAAATCTGCAGGGGAAAATGACTTTTGGTTTGGCCTGTGTTCACTGGAGAAACTGAATCCTGCACGAGTCCTGTGTCTTGTTACAGGGGTTGAATGAAGCGATCAGCTGAGCCTGGGGCAAGTCCTCATCTGGACACCAAGGTTCTGAGTGGAGAAGTCCACACCTCACACCCAGGAGGGCCCATGGCCTCCTCTCTGTAGATGCTCAAAGTGTGCCTAAAGCTCAACCTAGGATGTTGTTCTTCCCAGAAATGCCCACCCAATGACCCAAGACTCCTACTGCCCTGTACCTCATACCAACACACAAAACCAAAAAAACTTAAAGACGGCATCTTAACCAAGACGCCTGACAAAATGTGTAGACAACAAGAACTTCAGAGACACCAGTGGCACACTAGAGGATCCCAAAGGGACCATGGAACACGTCATACAGCTGATGACTTACACTAACACCCAAACGCACACATGCTCTTAGAGAGGAGGGAATCTGCCTTTCCTGCAAAGCAAGAGAAGTCTTTCCATTCCTGAGAAAGAGGCGAAGCAGGAAGCCAGCCTGGAGGAGCCTGGGATCAGGAGCCAGCAGGTGTGTGCCTGCAACTGGCAGCTGTGGAGTACCACAGACCAAGTTTGGATCTTAGTCCTCTACTTCATTTGTGCTTCTTTGTGCCTCAGTTTCCCTCACCTGGAAAATGGCGGGGGTGGGGGGAATCACCGTACCTAACCTAGAGCACGGCTTTGCTGTGAAGCAGAGGCAGCTGGTGGATAAAGAGCGTTTAGAAGGATGCCTGGCAGGGGCCATGCTCTTGGGTCTTTTCTCCCTCCAACTGCCTGAGAGTTCCTGGACAAGCGACAGAGCCGAGCTTTTCCGCTCCCATCTCCGCAGATGAGGAGTTGGGAAGGCAGGAACTCTGAGGTCCTCGGTGGGGCTGCTAAGCCACCTGACCTTCAGAACAATGGGATGCTGCAGGTGTGGGACACTCGAGGTGTGTTTTATTCCCACTTCTTCCTGCAAACATACCGAGCGAGCGTCCAGCATGGAGGGACCTGTCCTATCACCCTCATTAGCACGAGGAAGCCTGGGAACAGCTGGCCTTGGATGCCAGGGCTTTTGAAGTGTAGATGACTTTCCCCAAGGAAAACTGCCAGACCAGGGCTTCTACATCAAGGGGTAAATGCACATGACTGAGCTAGGAGAATTGCCACACCCTGGATACCTTCCTGCAGGGGGAAATGCCGGTCTGAGTCTGGCACCTCCACCCATTCAGGCAGAAGGATCTGAGGACGGCCCCTCCTTTGATCAGGCAAAATATTACTTGTAGAGTATGTGTCAGAAAAGCGGGGCTGGGGGAAGGCATCAAATTCAAGGGCTCCCATTGGCAACAAGAGCTTGTGACATGGAGTTTTCCTGACTTCTGTGTTGAAATGAATGAATTCTCAACCAGACTTAGGTAGCAGCCCCCTGGAAACTGCCTGGGTCTTCCCTGGGTGGTTCTGAGTCAGCTGGTGGTATACATTATGTTTCAAGGCATGTTGTCAAGGCAAAAAGAAAAAAAAAAAAACTTTAAAAAAAGATTCCTTAACCAGGTCACTAACAACACCTTTAATTACAGGAGAAAACGACGGTAATTATAGCCTCTGTCAGCACCCTGGGCTGGCAGCTCCCCAGGCAGGCATCCACCGTCCTCCTGTGGGGAGGCCAATGCCTCCTTGTTTAAACACTCTAGGTTTCAATCTGATTGAAAGACAGATTCCCTCCCTCTGCAAGCACACCCTTCTGATGAATGACTGAAGAACTAGGTCCAGTCCCCTAAAGGCTTGGGTGTCTGTAAGTCATGGCAGAAGTCCCAACCCTTTGCTGTCTCTGGGCAGACTGAGAATGTACATTCTATATGGCAATGACCTACGGTTATATTCTCATTGCCTACAACAGGCCTCAGCACAGAATGAACTTAATAGACACACTTTAGATAAAAAGGATGGGCACATGAACGAATTGGCTTAGGGGCCTGGAAGAGGTGGGGAGAATATCCCCACGCTCCAGAGGTGGGAGTTACTTCTGGACGTCCCTGAGGAAAGGCTCCCTGAGTTCTGAGTGTCCTGGCTCGGGGAGGCAGGTTCAGGAGTTGAGTAGGAGATGGAGTGGCCGTGGGAGATGGGACCTCTTCCTGACATTCCCTCTCTCTACTGTAGTTCAGTGCCAGCAAAGCCCATTACCCAGTGCATGGCCTGGTGTCTGGAGGCGCAGGAGAGCAGTGCATGGACAATGGAATCACATGACACAAACATCAGGGGTTCCCAGAAACCAGGAGCATGAGGATGGGGAGGATGAAGCAGGAATGGTCCCCAGCTTAACCTCTCCTCAGGAAGGTTGCTGTGGCTGTGGGCACAGGCACAGCAGTGCATTAGTGATCCCACCTGGGCTGACCATACAGGTCCTCTCCTAGTGCCCAGAGAGAAGGAAGTGGGATCCATGACTAGAAGCTGCTCCCTGCTCAGGCATCACTTCATCTCTGCTCTTCTCCTAAATGGACAAATAGGATGGTCTAGAACTGCAAGGCTCAGGCTTGTCTGCCCAGATGATGGACAAAGACGGCTGGCTTTGGTCTCAGATGGGTCCATGGAGATGCCAAGAATGGCCACCTTTCTCCTAATAGCAGCCAGCAGGCATGCATGAAGACTACACTGCATTCAATGGCCTGAATATATGATACCACTTGATCCTCAATGAACCTGTGATCCATACTCTCCTCTGTTCTTTTTGTCACACTGATGACGTACCCGCAAAGTACAAAATTAAAGAAACCACCTAAGATCACAGACCTGGAGAACAACGCGATTCTCACGTCTGGCTGAGTGCTTTCCTGTCTCTTCTTGGGAAAAAAAAATAACCCCACCTTAAATATTTCTTTTTATTGCCCCAGAAGTGAAAATCCGTGGAGCTTGGGAACCTTAGGAGGAAGGAGGAGGGGCCAAGACATGACTGTGTCAGCTACACTAGCAAGAGGCAGACACTCTCCTGTTTCTTTCTTTTCGACTTTAAAAAAAAAAAATCACCCAGTAGAGTGCAGAGTAAAAATATCCAATGGCCTTGTGAGCATGTTGAAATAAATTAATTCCAGTATTCAAATTAAGCTTCCCAACTGGCCTCTGGCCTTTCAAAAGCCAACAACAGACTGGAGAGACAATGGCGCTCCAGCAATTACGATGAGAATATAAATGAACATGATTTAAATACCAGAGGCATGATAATTTTGGAAATGGCTAAATAAACCTAATAATCTCATTCCTGCAATGTTCAATTATGGTATTTTAATTAAAACCTCCTAAGGAGAGGGGTGGCTAGACACAGCCTACCTTAATTATCTTTATACTTAGTAACTAGTCTCAAAAAGAAAGAAAAAGAGAATGAAAGAAAGTTTCTGTTTCCAGGGAGATAAGTGTATTTTATTTCTGAATGGTAAAAGAGGAAATTTATGGAGCGGCTGTTGGGATTCAGCATTGTTTAGGGGCACCTGGAAAAAAAATGCGATTTGTCCTTTACAGCTGAAGGATAAGATTGATATCTTTATGAAAAGATATTTCATATTCAAGGCCCCAGGTCTGGAGTGGACCAGACAAATCAATGGGCTCAAAGACATTCAAAGGAAAGAGATAATTGATTCAGGAGGTCAAATAGTTAACAAAGAGCCATAAATTATGAATAATGACAGGTAGGAACTCTCCGGGATTAAGGTATCAGGAAAGAAACACATGGAAAATAAATCTTAGACTATGAACTCCCAAATAAGACCGTTAAATGAAGATGAAAAAAAAAAAAAAAACTTACAAAGCATGTGACATGAACCCTTTTTCTAATGTATCACACACTTTGATACAACTCTGATATGTTCCAAGGGACAGCGGATGAAACATGGCCTGTGGGTCCTTAAAGCCCTCAGGCTCTAGAAACAAAAGATGCTGATAGAGAAATCCTTTAGTAGTCACTGAAGGAAGCGGGCCAGGCAGGCTGTTCCACATAGAAGACACTCTGATAAAAGATAAAATAGAGATGCAATCCCCTCACCCTGGTTAAAAAAAAAAAAAAATCCCAATTGCCTCCCCAGAGGGAGGAAATAAATGTCTTAAACTGGAGGGGTGCAGTTGACAGGAGATGCGTTTTGCTAAGAGCATCGCTGGCAGGGTTCTGGTTAGCTGGAGCGATAACGTGCCCATGCCCATGGCTTCTTGCGGAGGGGAGGGGAGGCCAGGCTCAGGATGGCTGGATTTAATTCAGGGGCGCTCACTCTCGGGGACTTGGGCAGGCAGGGCCTCCCAGCTCAGTGAGATAAGGCCTTCCGTATCTCTGGAGCTGTGTTTGGGAGAAGGTGTAGCGGCCACTGAAGGGCCCAGGGAGGTTTTTCTCCTGCTGCTTTGACAGGGCACTCTGGGGACGGAGCTACAGACACAGAAGACTTGACTGGAGCTCCTGAGTGATGATCGGCATCGTTCAGAAGTTCGTGTCCCTCACTGAAGTCCCCTCAGTGAGCTGCTAGATTTGAGTTTGGGCAACTTTAGACAGTCACAGCCGGGTCCACACCAGGCAGCCTGGATCCCTTGCTGGGCTCTGGCCTGAGGGGGGTGGGTCTGTACCCTCCATGGTGGTGCATGCGAGGGTGATGAGGTCCTAGGACAGCCCTTCTCTGTGACCTTCTTCTCAGGGCCTCCCAGCCTGGTCACTGCTGTCTTAATTGCCCTGTTCCACACTGCTTCTGGCAGCCCTTATCATAGTCTTATAAACTACCTATCGTACAGAGGAGGTGACAATGACGGGGTGTTTGTACCTGTCATATCTCACTCATCATGGTCGTGTCCATTCCTCACAGGGGCTCAACACACCAGATCCCCCACCCATCGTAACTAACTTTGATCTTCTCTAAAGTACTCACTCGGAACAGTCTATGTTTTAACCCTTGGGTGCCTGACAACCCTTTTGCACATAGGGGGAGAAACTCTGAATGACTGCCCTAAGCTGGTACTACTGGTGACAGGGCAAGACATATTGATGTCTAGAGTTGGGGGGCAAAATTCTCATGTCCTCAGAAGACATCTGGCTTCATGTCAGAAATGACAAGGACCATCATGTGCAATGGGCTTGGCTGCTTTGAGCAGGGGAGGGATAAGAATGTTCTATTCCTACATTTAGCTAAGGAGACGGCTGCTAGATCTAGGCTTTCCCAAGGGCCAGGGCTTGGGTACTGGCACCTCTAGGACTGCGGTCGGGCAACCTTACTCTCCTGGGGCTTGGACTCGGGCTGCTGGTGGACGAGCAGTGTCCGGGCAGTGTGCTGACGGGAGGCAGCTTTCCCGACAGAGAAGCATTCATGGTCATATGGCACTTTCCTCTCGGCACCCACCTGTCGGGTCGTGTTTTTACATTCTCCCTAATTAGTTTTCCTCGGTAGCTCTTGGATGGCTCCTGCACTCTGTAATTATTTCTTTCACTGGCACTTATGCCGATACTGCACCCTTTGCCTGATAATTACTGTAATTATAGTCACTATGTTTGAATTTGGTGCCTGTGTGATAAACGGTTTTATTATATGTGTTTGATGGGAAGTGATTCCTAAGTGGGCGTCCATAGGAAGTTATTGAGGTACTACTCAGAGATGTGTTAAAATGTTTTTGGAGAATAAATAACGTGATGAAGCAATAATGTGATGGGGAAAGAGCAGGGAAGAGAGAGGAGGGGCATGCTGAATTCAGGAACTTATCCACACACACAGTCTATCTCTGGGCATCCTGGGGCCTTTATGTTCATCAATGGAGTTTGTTAAGCCCTCAGTACCATGCTGGGTAGTGTGTGCGCGCATGTGCGTGCATGCGTGCGTGTGTGTGTGTGTGTGTGTGTGTGTGTGTGTGTGTGTGTGTGTGTGTTTTGGTCAACTTGACCCAAGCTAGAGTTACCTGGGAAGAGGGTCATTCAATTGAGAAAATGCCTTCATCAGACTGGCCTATAAGGAAGTCTATGGGGCATCTTCTTGATTAATGGTTGATAGGCAGATGGTCCCGAGCTGTATAAGAGAGCAGGCTGAGCAAGTCATGGGGAGCAAGCCAGTGAGCAGCGTTCCTCCACGGCCTCTGCTTCTGTTCCTGCCTTGAGTTCCTGTCCTGACCTCCCTCAGTGACGGACTGTGAGCTGTAAGATGAACTGAATCCATTCCTCCTCAAGTTGCTTCTGCCCGGGCTTTGATCACGGCAGAAGACAGCAAAGCAGGACAACTGAAAGTGGGCAGCAGCTAAGAAGGGAAGGAAAGGCAAGGTGGGCTGCTGGTGCGCACTGGCTGCCGAGGCTCAGCCTTGTAGAGGCCACTGGACTCCAACGCAGCACTGGGTTCCTGGAAACCTATATGACTCTTTGGGAATCGTTGTGTGTGTTTTCCTCCACCTGAAAAAAGCCCCAGGACTTATCTCTACTTCTTTGCCACCAAAAGAGTTGGTAGACGTAGACAGAAGCAAACAAAATTTAGGATCCAGTTTAAAAACTATGCCCTCTGGGAAGATCTTGGGTCACTCGGCCACCTTCCACTCTTAGAGCTCTCAATTGTTACGTGCCTGCATGCTTCGGTTCCGAGTGCTATGCAGGCAGTCTGGGCCTCGGGTCACCCACAGGTCAAACCCTTACGTTTGCTCAGCACATCCTGTGGGCCCACTAAGCTATCATAATCAAACTTCAGTTATCTCACTCTCCCCAAGGACTATGCTAAGCGCTCTATATCATTATTTTACCCAACCCTCCCACCCATTCCTTGAGCTGTATTCTAGAATTATTTCTATTTCAGGTGAGTGACAACTTGCCAAAATCACACATCAGTAAGGGGGGAGCTAGGACTTCCGGCCCGACAGGCTTAGTCCGGGGCCTGCATCGTCCCGTCTCCCCATTTCTAAAAGCATTTAGGTGGCAGAGGGTGTGTAGTCCATGCTAAAACACCTCCATCTCAGCTGCGTCCTGATGACATGCTGCTCACCAAATCTGAGGTTCCCTAGAGTCAGGGGGCTCTGGGGCTCAACAGAGTGTGATTCGTGAGTTCTTTTAGCATCTTCTATTCTAGATGTCAACAGATTCTTTCTTTGAACTCCTTACAGAAGGCAAGCTCTTCAAGTCATCACTGAATACTTCAGCTGACTATGGGGTTCCTTCCATACCAAATCCCTGGGATGGGTATGATCAGGATGAGGGGCCTGACAGGCATGTGGATCTTAGCCCAGGAGGGGAGAGCGGGTAAGGCAGGCTCACCTGGACACACATACTCCTTCTTCTGCACATCTGCCACATTGAAGCCTCTCAGGTGCACGGGAGCCATGCAGAGGGTGAACTGGCCAACTGTCCGCCGCTGTCGCAGCCAATCCGAGAGCCAGGCCAAATGACAATCACAGTACAGATGGTTGGAGTGGAGACGCCTGGGAGAAGGAGAGAGGTACCATTACACAGAGAAGAGAGTGGGCTAGACCTCTGGTGCCCTTGTTCCCAGCATGATCATTTACATGAGCCTAGGGCAGCATTCCCGACCCCCGTGCACAGGAAAATAATGAGAAGCCACTAATAGCCTCATGTGCAGGCCCTAGTCAATAGTCCTGATCCTGGAGGTTTTGAGCAATTTCCATGTCTTCATAGTAATTCTGTTCTTTTCCTTTCTGTGCAAGCAAGCATCAGCACAGAAAGGGGGGAGGGGACACCACTACAGTGTGGTGACAGAGAATGACACCACACATCCTGGTGTGAGTCATACAGGGTGACTCTGCCGCACTGGGGTGCAGGACTTATGGCTGGCCTAGATGGAGTTCTGCTTCCCCTCCGGTTCTGCGGGGCTGTGTGGCCGAGATCTGCTACAGCCTCCGCTGCCTCTTCTTCATCGCCCCTGTATCCTTTATGATTCCACAGCATGAGATGTGGGGAGCTCTAAGCCAGCGCCAACCATGCACTCGAGGCATGGTGAGAAGGGGCTTTCTGAGGGCATTCCTTCTCTCCACCCTCCTGTTAGAGAAGGTGTTGTCCTGAGAAGGGTCTTGTGATCTTCCTCACTCTCTCCATGGTGCCTGCCTTCTCCTTGCCAAGACCTATTTTACCTGGTGGTTTCCTCCTCTTACTGATCTAGAGGCCTCTGGAAAGATTTCCTGACCATTTCTACACTATGGCTCTTCAGTGGGAGCTGTGATGCCAGATCACTTTCTTGCTCTTGAGTGGGTAAGATTCCCTAGACGACCCGCCTGTTCCACTTCTGAGGGGAATTTCCTCTGGCTAAGTGAGTTGAACTTCCTCCTCTGGGCTGGGAGGCAACCAGGACACTCGGGAGCTTCTAGAGGGCCGGCCCTCCTTAAGGACTTCATGCCAGCATTTCCAACGTCCACATTCCCGACAGTTGTTAGAATTGGTGATGCGTGAGTTTTAGTAGCATGGGACTCAGGTTTCTTTGTAAATTTCCAGTAGGTAATCCTGGACACGCTAATCAGCCAGCTGCTACCTTGGGACCGTCGGGAGCCCTGTGTCAAACCCATTAATACAGCGCAGCAGCCCAAAGGAGTGGCTCGGATCAAGTACTATAATGAGAGACCTGAAGGGCCCTTGTCCACATCCCACTTAGCACAAGGTCAACACTGCCGAACACTAGCCAAGTGCAGCTAACGCAGACTGTGTGCTGCTGAGCCTTCTGTCACCAGTGGGCCCAGAACCCCAGCAGACCAGGTCCACTGGGGCTTGGCTGCCCCAAACCCCATCATTCCAGGTGGGCTAAATGAACCCCAAACTTACATAAAATGTAAAGCTTTTTTTTTTTTTTTTGCTAAAAATATATCTGTAGATATGAAGTACTTTTTGTATTTCAGAGTTAAATCAGATATACTTTCAGAAGCTCCAAGGCCCTAGACATAGAAACTATAAGGACCTAACATATTTCTTCCCCTTTAGTTTCCAAGCCCAAACCCTCCGAGCTAATGCAAGCATGGCCTCCGCTAAGCCTGGATTCTGAATACCATAAAACAGTTGGGAAGGGCACTGTGGTCCAAGTCCTAAGCCAGAGGGAAATACCTCAGTTGGAGGAGGGTAGACAAGACCCCTGCTTACTAATGAGCATGATCACTTGGTGCCAAGAGCAAAGGAAAGACGAGTTACCATTTCCTAAACAGCAGGGAGGAGACGAGGGATTTTCCTACCAGCCCCTATCAGGTAGCAGTGATGTCTGGGCACATACCAGTGGTTCTGTGCGGGACAGGGGGAGCACAGGGCAGCCTGTGGTGTAGTGTAGGCTGAGGGGAGGGGATTCTGTGTGTGCCAGGAGACTCAGCCAGTTAAGCAGCTTGCCTTTTATGTGCCGTTTGGTCGTAATGCAATGATGTTAAGACACAGAGATGACCCTTCATTTCTGGGCTTAACAAAAACTTGGAGGCTTCTCTTTTGAAGATGGTGTTAAGTGAGTTTTTCCTCAGCCCCAGCTGGCCAGCTGCAAGTCACCACTCTTCTCAATCTTGTTACAGATGCTTCTATCCTTCTATCTTCCTGAGACCTTCTCCATCCCAATGTGGGATCACGGAAAGGTAGCAGCCTCAACTGATACAGAAGCCACATGGAACCTTAATCAGAAAGCTCTGGCAGGAGACAGGCTCTGCTCCCTCTGCTAGGGATATGACCTGTCAGAAATGACGGCGGCGGATTCTTTCAAGTCATCTTTCACACCATGCTTGGAAGATAAAATGAAGCAACACAGCTCCAGACACTAAGTATGCTTTTTGTTTGTACGTGTATCTGTGTGTATGATGCATGAGTACATGGTGTGTGTGTGTGTGTGTGCATGTGAGTGTGTGTGCACGTGAGTGTTGTGCGTGCGCGCGCGTGCATGTGGGTGTGGCTATGCATGTACCATAGAGCATGGAGGTCAGAGGACAACCTAGGTGTCAGTCATTGGCTTCTACTGTATCTGAGACAGTCTCTGTGGTCTGCCATCGTGGAAGCCAGGCTAGCTGGCTCATGTGCTTCTGGGGGTTCTCCTGTCTCTTGCCTTCCATCTTGTCCTAGGTACCCCAGAATTATAGACCAGTTGTGTACTATCATTCTGGCTTACTAAGGCCTTTTTTTTTTTAAATCATGAGCATCGTGAAATTTGACGTGGAAATTGTTAAGAATGGTTCAAATCCTCTGAGTGGGGAGGGAAATTATTTAACTATGTTCCACAGTTTTAAGTTGTGAGGGTGATACCATTGGGTCCCTGGACCATGTGGAAGCTCTGGTTTCTCCTTGCTCTGCTCATCTGGCTGCAGGTTCTTCCATTTTCCACCCCTCTGGGTGATGTGAGCTCTGGCTCTGATGTTCAGTTATCTAATACTGGCACTGGTTCCAGCTTTCCGACTTTGACCTTTGGGCAGTGATTTCATTCTAGGCCTCAGTGCTACCAGCTATAAAATGGGAAGAAGTAACTTGGGTTCTGTGGGTTGAAGTAACACATGGGGAGTGCTTCACACAAGACCTGGCACACCGTAGGACCACGGAAGAAACATTCGCTGTTATCACATGTCCACGAACAGTGGATTTCAGTGTCTTCCCAAACCACGGCCCTGCCTCTCTGTGGCTGCTGCTGCTGCTTCTACAGATGTGAAAGCAGCCAGGTGCATACTGCTTGTGATCTTTTGAGGACGGACACACCGTATTCCACACAGATGAGACCACCTCTGTGGAGCAGAAGGCGAATGAATACAAATGCCAATTTACAAAAGGTGCCTTTTAGCCACAGATGCCAAATTAAATTTCCAGCAAATCCTTTTAGAGAGGGTCAGTGTTCGTTTTCCATCAAATTCGGCTTTCTGAATTCTGTGTAAAAGCTTCCCTTCGGAAATCCCATTGACGACTTCCTTCCCCTCTCCTCCTCCCTCTTCTCCCACACCAGTCACCCACCCCCAACGCTTTAATTACAGTGAAGGGGGATTAGTCACTTTGTCCCCAGGGAGTTCTGTACAGAGCCATCTCTGAATTAAACCAAAGAGAAAATGGCAGCAGGCAGAGAGCAAAGGGACAGACGAGATTGATTGATTGATCTGAACTCATCAGACGGATATTTGGTACCATAGAGAAAAATCACAAGAGAAATAAGATAAAACTCCTCACCCACTTCCTCTCCTCAACGTGCCCCAAGCAGGCACCCAAGAGCCCAGGCTAACCACCTCCCTCAGCTCTTATGGACCTAGCCTCTCTCTGTCACTGCTGTTGAAAAAGACACAGAGGGAAGCCTGTCACTGAGGAGGGGTCAGGAGGTGCTGCAAGGCTGTGCTCTATAGTGAGAATTTCTGGGTACCCACGCCTCTGGGAGAACAGACCCAGTATCCCGAGGCTCACTTATGACTTCCCGTTTTGGAACCTGGACTCCATGCTTCCTCAGCTTAAATGGGGTTTGCTGGGTGCTCAGAAGACCAAATGGAGTCTCCTTAAAATTCTATTACTGTACCGTCCTGTTTTCAGAGGAAGGGAAAATGACTCATTTTCCTGGGTGTGCTGTCATCTGAGGGTCCCCGACAGGAATCTGGGAGCGGAGATGGGAGCGTGGTCTGGGATGCTAATTACTGATAATAACTAACATTTCTGTGCACACGTGTAATAAGCACACTTCCCATGTCACATCACAGCCCACCCTCACAGTGACTCTAACGTAAGCATGTATTATTAAGTCCCTGACCCAAAGCACAGAAAGATGAAGATATGTCCTAAGTAAGGGGTGGAGCCTGCACGGAAACTCAGATCTGCCCGCTCCAAAACGCTCTGCACTGCTTTCTTAGACATCCCCTCCTCGGTCTTGGTTTCACTCTCACCTAGAGATAAGCTCACTCTCGCAGGAATGCAATGGCTTCCAAACTAGAAGAGCATGAATTGCCAACAGACTTATGGGCTACACACCAAGAGGTCCCCACGCCATAGGTCTGGGGTGGGGCTGGGATTTTTGGTTCTGGAAAAGTTCCAGATGGTTCTGAGCTGCTGGTCTGGGGAATGATGCTTACAGGATTCTCCATTCTCTCGGATTTCATGTTGCCCGAGGAGCACAGAGGAGCTTGCAATGGTCAGTCCAGATTTCTAGATAATTGTGTGGTGCTAATATATAATGCCATCTATTATCTCCCGGGTGATGGGCACTGTATGTGCTTAGTTCCATGTGCTCTGCACCAGCAGCCATATTTATAGAGGAAGGAAAAGCAGACATAGAGCCAATTAAGGGCAAAGGGCATTTCTGTTTTTTGCTTTGGCCCTAAATGTACGTGGCTAAAAGCTGTCAGGGGCTGGCTCTGCCTTTCTACTGTGATGCAAACACTCCGGAAGATAAGAACATCAAGCAGGAACCTCTTTGGAAAAGCCAACCAGGTTCTACTGCAGAAAAACTTACAAATGGGTGCCTGGCTCAAAGTAGGGCGCCCTAGATAACAAGAGGCATGGGCATGCTTCTGGAGCATCCAATCTGAAGGTTTAATCTTTTCCAGGGCATGAAAAGATGAAGTACAAAGAGAGTGTATTCGCATATCCAAATGTTGCTCAGAGAGCAGGAGCATGGAGCAGGTGGTACCTTGGTGGGACAGAGAAAGGACAAAGATGTCTCCTCCATTCCCAGAAAGGACATCACATTCTGACAGAACCACCAATGGGATACGCCAGGAATGAAATCAAGTGGAGGGGAGGGGGTTGTCTCATCACATAAGTGTTCTGTTTTTAAGTAAGTAGCTTTTGGCAACACAAAACTAACCACTTTTCTATCAAACACAACAAACCCCGTGCAGGAAGGCTTCTTACAGTTTTAGGGTGATAAGAAATGAGTTTTCCTGGTACAGCATGGCAGCTAGGAATCATGGCTGCACCATGACCCTGCCCTGCACCTGCCTCCTTCACTGAGTCCCCTCTTGCTTTATGACTTTGGGTATGGGAACTGGGTGCCCGGCAGGTTTCACAGGCAGTGACAGCAGCACCTGAGGCAGGCTTAAGGCAGGAGAGAGGTGGGGAGGAGCAGTCTCTACTCACAGAGTCCGAATCTTCGGCATGTGGTTGAAGCTGGTGACCAGGATGCGGCTGATGTTGTTGTTGTTGAGGGTGCTGCAGAGACAGAGAAAAAGAAGTTATGAATGAGGGGCACTGAGATGTTCTTAAGTGTTGTGGGGGGAATGGATATGGCTGTAAAAAAAAAAAATCAACAACTAAGAACCAGAGCATCCAAGTGTCTAGAGACAAGAGGAAACTCTCTAGACGATGGGGGGGGGATCCACAGTCCTGATTCATGTAGGTCCCCCCACCATCCACGAGCAATAAATCCCCGGCTTAATCTTGCTATGTGATGAGTGCCTCATTTACAATATTTTTCATTCTTCTTGTTTTGAAAGATTCACTGTATTTTGAATCATGTGTATGCATGTATGTGTGGGTATGCACATGAGTGCTGGTGCCCACATAGGTCAGAGGCATCAGATACCCCTGGAGCTGCCTAGCATGGCTGCTGGGAAGGGACTTGGGTCCTCATCAAGAACAATACACACAACGAATGGGAGCCGCTTCTCCAGCCCCAGCATCTTTCATGCCTACCGGGATAAGTCAGATACATGCCACTGTTCTCTTTAGGGAGAGGGAAAATGTACCCTTTTGGACTGGTAGAGCAGAACCCCCAAAGGAGATGTTATACTCTTGTTACAGACGAAGAGGCCGAGCTGTAGCCAGGCAAGGCAGCTTCCCAGCTTTGCCATCGCTGCTCAGCCCCGCAGGTGGATGGGACCAAGCCCTCTCTCACTTCATTCTCGTTCTGCTCACTGCACACACTGCCTTGCACATGATGCTATCTTGACAGGCTGTGTTTCCCAGGCCTCTTCTGGTCCTTCAAGAGTATCTTATCTAAAGAGGGACTAGCTCTCCTGTTTCTGGTGCTCTCCTTGACCATGGATGGAGTTACCACTGGGCAGTGTTAGTCCCTTCGGCAGGGAAAAGCATAGGGAAAGATGTGAGCTGTACAAACAGAACTAATGAAATGCAGCTGCTGAAGAGTTGAAATCGGGATCTAAGAAAGTGCTGCCTCGGTTTACCCGCTATAACACCCATTATGAAGGAGAATGTGGCAGCGAGGGAAATCTCTGTGGGGGCTTCTGCAGTTCAGGTAGGCGACTACACACTGGGGACGTGACCAGGAGTGGGAAGGCCAGGCGGTTCTCCGGCTCTGACCCTACACTTGCTTTGCTTTACATTCTAAAGAACAAGAACTGGATCCAGCCTTTGGTCTGCTCCTTCCTGCTGCCCACTTGCTCCTGGACCTTTCTTTTCTCTCATCTTTCCAGAGACCAGATCTCACTCTCATCAGCCCAGATTCTCTCACTCTTCTTTGGCAACCACAGATCTTCACTGGCTTTAAGAGGAGCCATCGTTAGGGCTCTTGGTAAATATATTACCCTTCCTTCCTTCCTTCCTTCCTTCCTTCCTTCCTTCCTTCCTTCCTTCCTTCCTTCCTTCCTTTCTTCCCACTCCCTTCCTCTCTTCTTTCTTTCTTTCTTTCTTTCTTTCTTTCTTTCTTTCTTTCTTTCTTTCTTTCTTTCTTTCTTTCTTCCTTCCTTCCTTCCT